CCCCCGGTAACCCCGGTAATCCCGTAGGGAGGAGGATCTGCTGGACCAGGCGCCGCTGCTGCGGGAGAACTCGCGCCTGGGCTGCCAGCTGTGCCTGAGCCCCCAAACCCCCTGAGCCCCCCAAAACCCCCCCGGGACACCCCCAAACCCCCCGGGACACCCCCAAACCCCCCGGTAACCCCCGGGAACCCCCGGTAATCCCCGGTAATCCCGTAGGGAGGAGGATCTGCTGGACCAGGCGCCGCTGCTGCGGGAGAACTCGCGCCTGGGCTGCCAGCTGTGCCTGAGCCCGGCCATGGAGGGGGCGCGCATCGCCCTGCCCCGCCTGACGCGCAACTTCTACGTGGACGGGCACACCCCCAAACCCCACTGACACCCCAAAATTGTACTGGGATACCCCAAAATATACTGGGATACCCCAAAATATACTGAGATACCCCAAAATACACTGAGATACCCCAAAATTATACTGGGATACCCCAAATATACTGAGATACCCCCAAACCACACTGACACCCCAAAATATACTGGGATACCCCAAAATATACTGGGATACCCTGAAATTATACTGGGATACCCCAAAATATACTGGGATACCCCAAAATATACTGGGATACCCCAAAATTATACTGGGATACCCCGAAATACACTGAGATACCCCCAAACCCCACTGACACCCCAAAATATACTGGGATACCCCAAAATACACTGAGATACCCCCAAACCACACTGACACCCCAAAATGATACTGGGATACCCCAAAATTATACCGGGATACCCCAAAATACACTGAGATACCCCCAAACCCCACTGACACCCCAAAATATACTGGGATACCCCAAAATATACTGAGATACCCCCAAACCACACTGACACCCCAAAATTATACCGGGATACCCCAAAATTATACCGGGATACCCCAAAATTATACTGGGATACCCCAAAATATACTGAGATACCCCGAAATACACGGAGATACCCCAAAACCACACTGACACCCCAAATCCTGACACCTCCAAACCACACTGACACCCCAAAATTATACCGGGATACCCCAAAATTATACTGGGATACCCCAAAATACACTGACACCCCAAATCCTGACACCCCGAAACCCCACTGACACCCCAAAATTATACTGGGATACCCCAAAATATACTGAGATACCCCCAAACCACACTGACACCCCAAATCCTGACACCCCTAAACCACACTGACACCCCAAAATGATACTGGGATACCCCAAAATATACTGAGATACCCCGAAATACACTGACACCCCAAATCCTGACACCTCCAAACCACGCTGACACCCCAAAATATACTGAGATACCCCGAAATACACTGAGATACCCCTAAATACACTGACACCCCAAATCCTGACACCCCAAAACCCCGCTGAACCCCAAAATACACTGAGATACCCCAAAATACACTGAGATACCCCGAAACCGCACTGACACCCCAAAATCCTATCCCGACACCCAGAAACCCCAGACACCCCAAAATCCTGACACCCCCAAACCCCACTGACACCCTAAATCCTGACACCCCGAAATTACACTGAACCCCAAAATATACTGACACCCCAAAATATACTGACACCCCAAATTGTACTGAGATACCCCAAAACCACACTGACACCCCAAATCCTGACACCCCAAATTATACTGACACCCCGAAATCCTATCCCGACACCCCCAAACCACACGGAACCCCTTGGGGGACCCCCCCTCAAAAATCGATTCGGGTCCCCCCAAATTCCCCCCGGGAGGGGGGAGGGACAGGGCGACCCCCGCCAGCCCCCCAAAAAAATCCCGGGGTTCGGATTGGGTAACGAGCCCCGGGTCATTAATGAGGGACCCATCGCTAATTGGGCACCCTTGGGTGCTGCTCGGGGTCCTGCGGGTGTCCGGTGGCACCGGGGGGGGGTTGGTGACACCGGGAGGGGTCGGTGACACCGGGAGGGGTTGGTGGCACCGGGGGGGTTTTGGGGGGTCTCGGTGACACCGGGGGGTGTCGGTAACACCGGGGGGCTCCAGGGGAGCAGATTCGGGGCCAGCTCGGTGGTGACGCCCCCCGGCACCGGGGCCGTTTATTTTGGGGGGGGGTCGCTCCCCGCCCCGGGAGGAACCGGCCCCGCGACCCCCGGAGCGCCCGGCCCCGAGCGGCGGCTCCCAAATCCCTCAGATCGCCCCAAAACCCCCCAAAAAACCCCTGGGGGGTGGGGGGGGAACTTTGGGGACCCCAAAACCCCACGGGGATGGTCCCGGTCCTGGTCCCGGTCCCGGTCCCGACTGCTCGATCCGGATGCCAAAATCCTCCCCGCGGTTGTGCCGGTACCACCGGGCACCTCCAGAGGAACGTCCTGGCACTGCCGAGTGCCCAAAATCCCCCCAAAATCCCCCGGGCCCGGGGGTTTGGGGTTCGGGGAGCACGGGAGGATCGGTGCCGGTCCCGGTGCCGGTGGCCGTGCCGGTCACGGCTGCGCCAGGCGGATCCCGAAGCCCTCGGCGCCGGTGGCGGTCCCGGTCCCGATGCTGGTCCCGGTCCCGGTGCCGGTCACGGCTGCGCCAGGTGGATCCCGAAGCCCTCGGTGCCGGTGCCGGTGCCGGTCCCGGTCCTGGTGCCGGTCACGGCTGCGCCAGGCAGATCCTGAAGCCCTCGGAGCCAGTGCCGGTGCCGGTGCCGGTGCTGGTCCCGGTCCCGGTGCCGGTCACGGCTGCGCCAGGTGGATCCCGAAGCCCTCGGTGCCGGTGCCGGTCCCGGTGCTGGTCCCGGTCCCGGTGCCGGTCACGGCTGCACCAGGCGGATCCCGAAGCCCTCGGTGCCGGTGCCGGTGCCGGTGCCGGTCCCGGTGCCGGTCACGGCTGCGCCAGGCAGATCCCGAAGCCCTCGGTGCCGGTGCCGGTGCCGGTGCCGGTGCCGGTGCTGGTCCCGGTCCCGGTGCCGGTCACGGCTGCGCCAGGTGGATCCCGAAGCCCTCGGTGCCGGTCCCGGTGCCGGTCACGGCTGCGCCAGGCGGATCCCGAAGCCCTCGGTACCGGTGCCGGTGCCGGTCCCGGTGCCAGTGCCGGTGCCGGTCACGGCTGCGCCAGGCAGATCCCGAAGCCCTCGGTGCCGGTGCCGGTGGCAGTGGCGGTGCCGGTGCTGGTCCCGAAGCCCTCGGCGTCGCGCACGTTGTACTCGCCCGTCCTACCGGCCGCGCTCTTCACGTAGACGCCGCCGGCCGCCGCCAGCGCCAGCGCCGCCACCGCGCCCAGGGACCCCAACGCCGCCAGCGCCGCCAGACGGCTCCCTGCGGGCGGCACCGGTGACACCGGGACCGGCCGGGACACCGGGACACACCGGGACACCGGGACGGGACCAGTGACACCGGGACACAGTGACACCGGGACACACCGGGACACCAGGACGGGACCGGTGACACCGGGACACAGTGACACCGGGACCAGCCGGGACACCAGGACACAGTGACACCGGGACGGGACCAGTGACACCGGGACACAGTGACACCAGGACTGACCGGGACACACCGGGACGGGCCAGCACACCGGGACACAGTGACACCGGGACACGCCGGGACACCGGGACACAGTGACACCGGGACACACCGGGACACCGGGACGGGACCAGTGACACTGGGACACAGTGACACCGGGACACACCGGGACACCGGGACACCGGGACGGGCCGGGACACCGGGACACAGTGACACCGGGACACCGGGACACGGGGACACCGGGACGGGACCAGTGACACTGGGACACAGTGACACCGGGACACACCGGGACACAGTGACACCGGGACCGGCCGGGACACCGGGACACAGTGACACCGGGACGGGTCGGGACACCGGGACACGGGGACACCGGGATGGGGCGGTGACACAGGGACGGGGCGGTAACACCGGGATGTGGCGGTGACAATGGGACACACCGGTGACACCGGGACGGGGCCGGTACCACCGGACCGGAACTGGTACCACCAGGACAGGACCGGTAACACCGGGACGGGGCCGGTACCACCGGACCGGAACCGGTGCCCGCCTCCCTCCCCAGCCCGCTTCGCCAGCTCACCGTCCACCCGCACCACGACGCTCCCGGCCCGCCGGCCGTGCCGGTTGCTCGCCGTGCAGGTGTAGACGCCCCGGTTGGCCGCCGTGGCTCCGGTGACGGTGACCGAGCGGTTGTCGGCGGCCAGGCGCAGGTTGGGCGCGGGGGGCAGCGCCCAGCTGTACGTGGGCACCGGGAGCCCCTCGGCGCCGCACTCCACGGTGAAGCCGCCGCCGCGGCTGACGTTGGCCGAGGGCAGCACGCGCACCGTGACACCGGCGGGGCCGTCTGCGCCGGGGCGAGCGGCCGCCGCTGAGAGCCGCCCCCAAAGCCCCGGGTTTCCCCCCAAAATCGCCGGTTTGTCCCCAAAACGCCCGGTTTGCCCCCCAAACCCCCGGATTTCCCCCCAAAATCCCCGGTTTGCAACCCAAAACCCCCGGTTTGCCCCCAAAACCCCCGGTTTGCCCCCCAAAACCCCCGGTTTGCCCCCCGAAACCCCCGGGTTGACCCCAAAAACCCCTTTTTCCCCCCAAAATCCCCGGTTTGCCCCCTGAAAACCCCGGTTTGCCCCCCAAACCCTCCGGATGTCCCCCCAATTCCCCGGATTGCCCCCAAACCCCCGGATTAACCCCCAAAACCCCCGGTTTGCCCCCCAAACCCCCGGTTTGCCCCCCAAACCCCCGGTTTGCTCCCCCAAACCCCCGGTTTTCCCCCCAAACCCCTCGGTTTTCCCCCAAACCCCCCGGTTTCCCCCCAAACCCCCGGTTTCCCCCAAAATCGCCGCCCGCGCTCACACTCCACGGCCACGGTGACGTTGCGGACGGCGGAGCCGTGCGCGTTGGTGGCCCGGCACCGGTAGGTGCCCGCGTGGGCGCGGGTGACGTTGGCGGTGGCCCGGGGGGGGTCCCGGGGGTCGCCGGGCCCGGTGGCGTTGCCGGGCTCGCCCAGCTTGGCGCAGGTGACGCGGGGCGGGGGGTTCCCGGTGGCGGCGCAGCCCAGCTCGGCCGGGGTCCCCTCCAGCCACCGGCGCCGCTCGGGGCAGCCGCGCTCGCCGAGGCTCGGCCGGTCTGGAGGCGGCGGGAGGCGGGATGGTGGCGGGAGAGCCCCGGGAGAGCCCCGGGAGAGCACCCTGACCCACCGGGATCCACCGGGAGAGCCCCGGGAGAGCCCCGGGAGACCACCCTGACCCACCGGGATCCACCGGGAGAGCCCCGGGAGACCGCCCTGACCCCCCGGGATCCACCGGGAGACCACCCTGACCCACCGGGATCCCCCGTGAGACCACCCTGACCCCCCGGGAGAGCCCCGGGAGAGCCCTGGGAGACCACCCTGACCCACCGGGATCCACCGGGAGACCGCCCTGACCCACCGGGATCCACCGGGAGACCA